GCGGCGTGCGCGTCCCCGGCTTGGGTCCGGGAACCCAGGTGCGGTGCTGGTGCCCCTCGGGAGGCGGCTTGCAGAGGCGCCTTCCTCGGGCGGCCCCGGCTGCCTCAGCCCCTGCTAGGCGGGCGCAGGGCAGAGCGCCTGGCCGGCCTTCCCCAGCCTCTGCTCTGCCTTTCGCCCTGGGGAAGGTAGTGGTCACCCCTCTCTGCGTTGCAAGCGCTTGTCGACATTTTCTGTCATGAGCCACCCTCCCTCCGAGCTGTTACATGGTCAGGACGTGTCTGTGTCCTGATTGGTCTGGTCTATACAAGCAAAGCGTGTCCTGCTCAATAGATGTGCTGACCCACACCGGGAAATCCCTGGCACAGCCTGCTGTACAGCCTTGTCCGACTTCGGGGAATTTTTTTCCACTTTTTTCCTGATCTGGTGTGGCTCCACCGCTGTCCGGTACACACCCTTGGACACAAGCCTTCCCCACGTATTCCTCATTCTTTATCCTTCCCGTTAACTGAACTGGGGGCAGAACATGGAAGTTGGATGAGGATGAGTTTGTGAGAGGGAGGCCAGTACAGATTAGCACGGCGTTCGGTGCCGCCGCTCTGGCTTGAATATGACAAGGATCCAGCCTCGCTAGCCTCTTCTCTCTTTCCCCACGCTCACCTGGACGGAGAAGGTGCTTCTGGTCCTCTTTCATGCCGTTCTGTGTTAACGCGCGTGGAATAAATGGGACTCAGGGAAACAGCTGTTAACAGAGTCACCGAACAACTTTAAATTTTAACACAAGCCTCAGGGTTTCAAACGCTGAAAACAGCCTGCTTTTGTCCCGTGGCACTCCCTCTTGGTAAACCTGTGAAGAGAGAGAGGAAGGAAAGTTAGAGATGTCCACATGTCCTGGGGCTTTAAAGCTATTAAAATGCACTGGTGTAGTTCTGAGCTTCCTAACAATTTTTTTTCTTTTTTTTTCTCTTTCCTTTTTTCTTTCCTTTTTTCTCTTTCCTTTTTTCTCCTTTCTTTTCCTTTTCCTCTAGTTTCTCTTTTTTCCTCTTCCCCCTTCTTCCCCCTTCTTCCCCCTTCTTCCCCCTTCTTCCCCCTTCTTCCCCCTTCTTCCCCCGCTTTTTTTTCCTTTTGTTTCTCTTTTTTTCCTCCCCTTCCCTTCTTCCCCCTTCTTCCCCTTTCTTCCCCCGCTTTTTTTTCCTTTTGTTTCTCTTTTTTTCCTCCCCTTTTGAAGGAGCTTAGCCAGCAAATCCCTTATTCAAACTACCCCCTTTTCTATCTGATTTTTGTGGGACTGCTGCTTTGCTTCGCAAACCTGAACTACCCAGAGAAGTGATCCTGGCTCTTCTAGTCAGCGTCCAGGTCTGAGGCCTTGTGTTGCCATCTTGCAATGGCCAACTGGTAGCAGTTTCCTTTTGTGCTCCGTTCGTGGCTGTGAGAGGGACAGGCCCCTTCCCCTCTAGATCTGAACTGAAACAGACGGTCCAGCCCTCATCATGGGAGCTGCCTGGCTGGTTGGATTGACAGTACTTGTTTGCATCTGGTTTCACAAAGTTGCTGCTCAGAATCTCATAAAAAACCCCAGGGACCAGAAAACAGAACATACGCTTTTGATTAACGAAGTCAATGCTGACAGCCCAGGAGAGGACACTTCTGAGTTTGTGGAGCTCTATCACACCAGCGGTCAAACAGCCCACTTAGATGGCTACTATCTGGTCTTTTACAATGGCAATGGAAACCAAGCTTACAAAGTTTTGAACCTTCAGGGTAAAGTTACTAACAGCCAAGGGTTCTTTCTCATTGGCTCCTCTTCTATAAACCCTGCTATGGTCATTCCTAAGAACACCATCCAGAACGGCCCTGATGCTATTGCTCTGTACTATGGGAAAGGGAATTACAAGGAAGGCATGAGCGTCACAAGTGATGGTCTGGTCGATGCCTTGGTCCATAAGATTAAGAAGACAGACAGAGCAGATACATTGGTCAGTATACTGACCCCTGACAGAGATGCTTTCCTGGAGGACCCCACTTTCAGGACCTCAGATGAGTCAATAGAGAGATGCCGCGGGGCCAATTCTCAATGGATCTTCCAAGTGGCCATGCCCAGCCCAGGCAAAGACAACCACTGCATCCTAACTTCTCAGCTGAATGCATCTACTGTCCTGATCAGTGAGGTCCATGCTGTCTCTTCTTCTGAAGAATTCGAGTATATAGAGCTTCAGGGTCCCCATTCTGCCACACTGAGGGACATTGTTCTGGTGCTGATCGATGGACGGACCAAAGACATTTATTTCACCATGGACGTTTATGGCAAAACCTCACCGGATGGGCTACTTCTGATCGGTCCAGCCCAAAGCAAAACCCCAGGTAAGGACTGTATTCTGATGACTGTCTAACAGCTCGGGGGAACAATTAGTCAAGTTTGGGGCTGGGAGCTGCTGTATTTTTTTCTTTTGCTGTTTGGCACTGTGATAGATCACTAAAAATGTGAGCTCAGTACTCAATGGCAGATAAAAAAGTAAATTAAATGTTAGAAAATTGGAAAAGGAATTACAAAAAGCAGATTAAATATTAGAAATTATTAGGAGAGGAGAACGAAATGGAGGGCATCCTAATGTCACTGTATAAATCCATGATTTACTTCCATCTTGAATTGTATCTTGTATAATACCTTAATCTCAAAAAGGATATATTAGAACTGAAAAAGTTTGGAGAAGGTCAGCAAGGATGGTCCGCAGTCTGGAAATACTTCTCTATGAGGAACAACTAAGTAAGCTAGGGCTCTTCAGCCTTGAAAAGGGAAAGTTTAGGAGGGCCATGATAGACGTTTCAGAAATGAGAGTAATCTGAAGAAAATGGGCATGGATCAATTCTTTACTCTCTCTTCTGGTACAAGAGCTAAAGGGCGTCAAATGAAGATGGAAGGAGGTAGTTTCAGGACAAACAAATGGAGGTGGTTTATCCCTCCTGGGATAAACCCAGGTAGACCTGCAAAGCATCAGAGCGAGGGACCTTGTGGGAGGTCAGAAGTTTGCCTGGGCTCTCAGGCAAGCTGGGAAGGCTCGTGGAAGAAAGATTCCTGTAAGTTTGCTAAATACACAAAAGTACATCCAGCTTGGAAAGTTTCCAAGCTAGACAGATACTGAGAAAACACTAGGGGGAAAGTGTCATGTATTCTCCTGGTCTTCCCTGGACATCTGTGTATGGTCACTGTTGGGAAAAAGTGAGTCTCTGGTCTGACTCATTCTGGCCATTTTGATGTTCTTGGACCATGTCTGAGGATTTGAGGCATTATGCGAATGCAGGCAAAAGGTGTGAGCTGTCCCGCTTGCATGTATCCCAAAGATGAAATGGAGTTAGTTTGTGCTAGTAATTGGACAGAATGTGCAGAGTCAGATATGTGGGTAGAGTGGGTGGCCGGTGGCAGATGCTGCACGACTCCTTGTGTACTTGAGTGCATATATCAGCCTGTATGACCGTGAAGAGGCAATGCTTTTCCCTGGTAAACCTGTTCCTGTTTCATACAGCCTGAGGAATGCGTTCTCTCATGAACAGGACTGTGCTTGAGAGAGTGTGGCTCCCAGCCCTGTTGCCAACCCGCTTTGAGACCCTGAGTGTGTCACTTTCCCTTGCTACGTCCCCATTTCTGTAACTTGGGAGTCGTTCATAGCAGGCATATACTCGCTCCCTGCAAAAGCACAGGGGTTTTCTTTCATTGAGTCATCTTCAAATGTAGAAGATCACGCTGGTATCAGTTGTTTGAAACTGTGATCTAAACTTCTTCCTCGCTTTCAAAATTTCTGCCGGTCTATCAGAGGGAGACAGAATGTCTTGTTATTTTGGGCACATCAAAGGAAGGTTTTGGCAGCTGGAGACGCTGACTCTGCAGATATCTTGTGTAATTGCCTGAATCATGAGCTCTGAGTCAGGGTTTGTCATCTCTTACAAATCTGGTTTTCATGTTGTAATTAAATGTATATATCAGATTGTTATTTCAGAATGAGTAGTTGGGATGCAAAACAAAACCAGAACAAAGCTGAAATGAATACCTCAAGAAAAACAGAGTTGAAGCACTTTTAAATTGAAGCCTGGCCTCTCCATGACAGCTCCCAGCAGCTCCTCCCAACACGTTTCATTCCCTTGTTTTGAGAATGGCCACCCAAGACACCAAAAACAGATGCATACTATTAGCTAGGAGCTGAGGATCATGTTAGTTGCTGACTTTTGCTCTCAAATGTGGAGGGAAAAAGCAGCTGTAGAGTCACGAAAAGGGAGAGAAGAAAGGTCCCAGTCTGCTGTAGCAGGGGGAAATGGTTTGGGCAGAGCCTAGGATGGAGCTTTCCCTAAGAGGTCTGGCCAAGAGAGAGCATATGGCCTAGACAGCAAAAGCAGAAACTGCTAGTGAGCTCTGAGGAGGTACATCTCTCGCACAGAGGCAAGAGTTGAGATAGGCTCAAGAGTTTCTGGTAGCTGTGCATTATCCTGTCTGTCCATGCATCTTCCTGGCTGCCCCTTCCCCTTGCCAGAGAGAGCCTCCTAGCACAAGCTGCCTCCCCATCTCTGCCTCAGCGAGCTCCTACCTGTTGCTTCTGGCCAGCTACCAGGGCCCTGACTATCTCCTCTCCCCGAATCCCCTTGCAGCATCTCCTTACCAGACTTCCTGCTGTTCCCTGTTCAAAGCAGCCAACTGAGGCATCTCCAGCACTGGTCCCAGGAGAGCTAGAGCACTGGTGATTTTAGCTTTGAATTTATTGTCTAAACTCTTCTCTAGATCTGGCCCTCAGCTTTGCTGGGCTTCCAGCAGAGGTTGGTACATGGCCCTGACTTGAGGCTGGGGGGAGCAAAAATTTAGTAAAGATTAAGAGAAGTACCATAGTTGGCACCTCTTCCTCTTTGAGCTGAGTCTTAGCATGGTCCAAACAAATACTCGACTAAGGGGAATCTAAAAGTGCTGATAAATGCATAAAGCAAGAGAGGTTAGAAGAAATTCCTCTCTTCTATACTATCTTCATAGCAGCAGCAGATAAAAATATTTGTCCAATTAAAGCTTTTTTTCTAAAGCAGTTGACATCCTTTTTAAAATTCAAACTGCTCTAAATACTCTCTTCCCAAAAGTAGAACAGCTCATTGTACACTTCAGCTCTGCTTTTCTCACCAGAAAAAGTGTTCTACTTTTTCCTTTGAATGCGCTGGGGCTGCTAGCAGTTAAAAGGCTACAGGAATTCAAAGCAAATGATGTGAAAGCACAACCAGCTTTCAGACTAAGGAGGAAATTTCTAGGGATTATGTTGAAATGTTCCTCAAGGCTCACTCAAGTCAAGAAGGTGATTCTAGATATGCTTTGGCTTTTCTTCCACTGAGGCTTTGTCAAGATGTGTCAAGCATACTGTATACACTGTTTTCTGTAGAAGGATAGTCCATATTTTTCTTAAAAAAAAAAAAAAAAGCAGTGATACTGAGTGCTTACATTTTAGTCATCTTAAAAGGATATTTTCATAGCGTCTCCGCACTAAGCACTCTGTGAAAAGTTGACCCTTGAATTATCTCAACTTTGGGGCAGGAGCTCTTAAAATAACCCAAACTGTTAGTCTTTGTAATACTTGTCTGCCTATCGTTGCAGAGGATTTAAAACTGTAAAAGCGCTGGAGCAAAAAAAAAAAAAAAAAAAAAGTCCTGCCCTGATATATGCTGGTGTGAAAACCTTCAATTGAATAGGGGAAAAAATACTCCTCTAGCCAGATTTCAGCTGGGCAACGTGCAGGTGTACATCAGTGGCTAAAGCACAGGACTGGCTATTAGCTTGCAGGTTCCCTGGTAGCACTTTTCAGATGGCAGTCACTTTTCCTTACCCCTTTGCCCTTTCATGTGATTCCTACTTTTATGTTTGTTTCCTAGAGCGATTTAGACAGGGAGAATTATTGAAATGTCACCAGTCTGCTGCTTGTTAATATTCTCAGCACTTTCTCCTGGATGTCAGAGAAGGAGCTTTTAAAGGGCACAGTAAATGCAAGGAGGGAAGTTGGGAAGCTCAGGAAATTGGGAAACCACCAAATTTCAAGCTTAATTCTGTCTGCTGTTATCTTGGGCCTTTGCTGTGTGTGTGTGTGTGTATATATGTGTGTGTGTGTATGTATATATATATATGTATATATATGTATGTATGTGTGTATGCAGAGTGTGTGTTTGTAAAAGCCTGATACTGTTAGTTAAATGCTAAAATAAAATGTAAAGTTCTTAAATATTGTTATGTACTATTAGAGTAACTGCTACTTTCAAGCTTAGTTCATTTTTCAGACCTCTTTTAGAATTAAAAATTGGCTTTAACATATACAGCCACATCAGCACTTCTCCAGTTCCCCTACTTATGCATAAATCAGCTTCTCTGTTTGAGGAACCCAGATAGCAGAACACACTCTGCTCAGACTTCCCCCTCCAGTCTCCTCCCAAACTGTGAATCCGATCACAAAGGGAGAAATTCAGCCCGAAAGAACATGAGAAATGCTAGTGAGCAGAAAGGTGTGGCTACAGATGCAAGATGTGCAATAACCAGCCCTTCTCTGAGTTGGTGTGTCTTGTTTTTCAGGCCCTAAGTGATGCCAGTTTCCTGCTTAGGTGGGTGTTGGTTGTGCATTTCTTATATACTGTCATTTTTCCTTTTCTTTCCTGGTGCGCAGTGGATTTGCCATTCCCACAGAACACTAGCAGCCCCATCCTCAGAGATGGCGCCAATGCCATTGCCCTCTATAGAGGCAACAGCAGCAGTGTTGTCCTGGGGAAAGCACTGCCAGTGAGTGGCCTGTTGGATGCCTTCGTATACACGAGCAACGAGGGACCAGACCCTGAGCTGCTGGAGATCCTGAATATATGTGTGTGTGTGTATGTATATATATATATGTATATATATGTATGTATGTGTGTATGCAGAGTGTGTGTTTGTAAAAGCCTGATACTGTTAGTTAAATGCTAAAATAAAATGTAAAGTTCTTAAATATTGTTATGTACTATTAGAGTAACTGCTACTTTCAAGCTTAGTTCATTTTTCAGACCTCTTTTAGAATTAAAAATTGGCTTTAACATATACAGCCACATCAGCACTTCTCCAGTTCCCCTACTTATGCATAAATCAGCTTCTCTGTTTGAGGAACCCAGATAGCAGAACACACTCTGCTCAGACTTCCCCCTCCAGTCTCCTCCCAAACTGTGAATCCGATCACAAAGGGAGAAATTCAGCCCGAAAGAACATGAGAAATGCTAGTGAGCAGAAAGGTGTGGCTACAGATGCAAGATGTGCAATAACCAGCCCTTCTCTGAGTTGGTGTGTCTTGTTTTTCAGGCCCTAAGTGATGCCAGTTTCCTGCTTAGGTGGGTGTTGGTTGTGCATTTCTTATATACTGTCATTTTTCCTTTTCTTTCCTGGTGCGCAGTGGATTTGCCATTCCCACAGAACACTAGCAGCCCCATCCTCAGAGATGGCGCCAATGCCATTGCCCTCTATAGAGGCAACAGCAGCAGTGTTGTCCTGGGGAAAGCACTGCCAGTGAGTGGCCTGTTGGATGCCTTCGTATACACGAGCAACGAGGGACCAGACCCTGAGCTGCTGGAGATCCTGACCCCTGGCAGACCTGCCTATGAAAAAAAATGGTGAGAGGCTCCTCGTTGGATAGGGCTGGGAAGAGAACTTGCACATTAGGGTTGTCCTTGCCTAGGAGAGTCATCTTTGCCTTGTGTCTTTACCCTTCCAAAGAGGGGCATCGACTATAAGGGGGTTTAGGTCACTTTTGAGAGGAGAACTGGTAGCTGTGAGGTCTGTAATACTAGATGACATATCTCATCTCCAGTTAGGCCTTCACTGCTCTATGACAAAAAGACTCCTCATGAACAGAGCACTTTTCTTGTTCAGTGAGCCAGGATGGAAGCCTCGCAACAAGTGCCACTTGGGGACTTGGGTTGTTGGTCTCCCCACCTAGAGCTCAGTTCAGGACTAGAACACAATAGCCATCCCCAAATAAGGGTCTCCTGATAGCAGTATTGAGACTTTGCTGTTTTCCACTGCCTGGTCCACATGGGCAGGTGCCCCTAACGTTCCTCGGCAGACTTGGCACAGCTGCTCAATTGCAAAATAAAATATTTGAGGAGGAATTTTCCAACTAAGTGATGTTGCTGCTGAAGGTTTACAGGCCAATATCGTAAATTTTCCTGGAATTTCTGTACCACTTTTAACAAGAAAGGTTTTTCTTGGGTTCAGGATGGAATTTCAGGACAAAATGAGGGAGAGAAGAGGGACTTCAGTATCTCTGATGGTGATGGTGCTGGCCTGACCCAGGCTGAAATCCTTGCTCTGGTTCATTATGACCAAAGACTTGAAACTGGGTTACTTGACATTCTGGGTTGAGTCACTTTTTCTTTCTGGTATTTGAAGAGCTTAGGTTCGCCCCTGTGTGGGTTGAGAGAAACATTAGTAACCTCAAACTTATATGGGACCTGGAAACTATTTCTTTCACATTTTAGGCATATTCTAACAACTGGAAAAGTAGAGGATGAAAAGAGTGGCTAAAGAACGGTGGAGCAGGTGGAGGGGCAGAGGCAGTGAGATGCAATGCACGTGGACATGGGGTTGGGTGTGTAGGACCAGACAATAAGCAGAAAAGATCTGGGAAAGCTCTTGTCTGTGATTTTCATGGGAAATCACCAGACTTGATCTCTGCGTGTAACTTGTCGACTAAATACCAATGTCCTGGCTCTGCAGCTGGAGATCACCCTTTCAGGATGAGCCTGAGACCATTTGAGACTTCAGCAGAGTCAACTGAGTCGAGAAAGAGTATGGTTTAATCTCATGATAGGGTCACCACTCATTCACAGCACATTCCTGTTCCTTCCTTTGCTCATCTTCCTCCCTCTGGTGGAACAAAATCGGCATTTCTCCTATAAGAAGATGTTGTCGGCTTTCCTAAGGGGAAGCAGCTCTGCTCTGTGCATTTGTTCAGAGGGGGCCTCCATCCTTCTTCACCTTCGAGTTGAGGGCTCCTGCCCAAGTCTTTCATCCTCAGATGCTCCCTTTCCACTTTCTTTAGCTGCCCCCTGCTGGTCTCCCCAGTCATCCCAGCCTGAGCACGAGCATCTCTGTACTGACCTACCTGTCTTCACATGGGTCAAAATGTTCGTGTTGTGGCCACTCTATGGAGAGAGGTGCGGATAACAAGCAAGCTGAGAATAAGTAGCTGGTGACTTGCTAGAAGAGAAAGGATGGGATGAAGCCTGTGCTCTTCTCTCTCAAGGACTAGAGAGCTTTTGGGCTCATTTTTCAGACAGCAAAGTACTGATGAGGATGAGGTATCTCTTCAGATCTTGTGAAGGGAGAAGACCATATGTTACAGTTTCACCTCTGGTGCAGGCAGATGTGACTCATGGGTGAAGAGCACACAGTTCTCTGGCTGGCAGGTCATATTTTCTCTTATTTACCCATCTGTCTCTTTCAGGCACCAGCTGGGTGACGTGTCCATGAGCCAATGCAACTGCTGTTCTGTGACTAGGGATTCTTTGTCCTATGTCCTCAGCAGCCCCACCCCTGGCAAGTTCAATGATTGCCCCAGCAAACGCTTCAGCCAGACCATCTCCTTCTGCCTTCATGTAGCAGGTGTGTATTAGTGACATCCTCTGGTCCTGGAGACACAAATTCCTAAGGACAAGAGCATGTGTGCAAAGCCAGAGCTGTGCAGAGAGGTCTACCTAGAGCCATGCTGGGGTGTGTACAGATATACCAAAAGAGATGCAAACAGAACATCTGACAATTCCCTGCAATATTTTTCTTCACAGAAACCCATTCCAGGCTGAACTTCTCCCATCTTGATTCCCACACTCACCTGCTGTGGGTGAAGTGAAGCCTTTTCAGGCCCTCTGAGTGATAAGCAGCAGTTGAGCTGCATCCATCCAGGAATGAGTTGGGAGCTTGTGGCTGAAGTTTCACTGGCTAGATAACGCATGGTTTCTTTGTTTCCTAGATTGCCAGGAGTGGCTCCTGAAGTCGGAAGAGATCCTGATGGGTCTAGTCCAAGCCCTAGACAGGTCCTGCAGCTGTGGAATCTCTGTTGCCTACTTCAAAGGTGAGGTAGGCAGGAGGAGGGCAGTCCAAGGACCACCAGTGGTTAATGCCAATTCACTTCTGATTTTCAGCCCTGGGTTTCCCTGCTGGATTACATCCTCCTGGCTTTGAGCCCAACTAATATGAATTTGGGTGAAGTTGCTGATCCTGGAAACGCCAAGTGTTAGGCAGAGCATGCTGCTGTTCTGCAGAGCACTCCCATCTGCAGACATGCATCAGCACTGATCTGCATGCCACCACCAATTTTAGCCTGTTTTCTGTCAGGCAGGTTTGGCAACAGGGTCAACATCTTGACTAAGAGTTAGTTACCTAACTGACCTTATGATCCAAATAAAACTGGCCTTCAGAAAGGAAAAGCCAGTTCATTAGCCCCTGGATCTCCTTGCAGTAGGTGATGCCACTTGGCTAGGGAGGGAGATGACCACAGCTGTAATGCACAGTTGCAATAAGCAACAAATAGATTTCTGGGTAAGGTTCCTGTTGAGTGTTGTGGCCCTGCCAAACTAAGCCAAGTTGCAGCAGAAATGCAAATGCACTCACTGGTTGCTATGTTCCTGTGATATCCCCACTAGATTAGTGTGCAAGGGTGGTGAGCACATGCAGATGCCTGAAGAGAAGAGCCATGCCTTTGCAGCCTTCATTGACCACTGCATTATGTTCAGCTCCGCATGTTTAGACTCCTTGAAGAGACCATTCTGTTTGCTGTTGGGGTTACAAGGCTTTCAAAAGGATGAGGATGGTATCTAGGTATGCTGTGTGAGCTTGGTCCCGGAATGCCCCTTTGCAAGGGCAGAGGGGCTGGAAAGCTCACAGCATTGTGCTGATGGTATGAGCTGTTTCGCTGAACTCTTCCCCTGATTCAGCTCTGACCAGGAGGGCAGCAAAGGTGGAGGCTGGTTTGCTCTTTGTCCCTTCCAAGAGAAAGCGTGTCTTCATGAAGGTGCGGTGAAACTGAGGCAGTTCTCTGCTTGCCTCTTCAGATTCCAAGGCGGTCTGCCAGGACCTGGGGCTTGTATTCACCACCCTGCTAAATGCCAGGTCAGAAGACCAGCTGAGCAGCCTGCTGCTAGCCTTCAAGACCTTCCTAGAAAGCCCCAGAGTTTTGAGTTTTGACAGAAGGAACATCACAGCAGGAAGCTCCTGCTTCAAGGACATTAATGTGCCAGAATCGCCTCCAGGTACCAGACATCATTCTTGCTGGTTGGGGGACACAATGCATTTGAGGGTGGACACATGGGTCTAGATCATCCAGAGGAGAGAGATGTGCCTCCCTCCATTTCCGTAATTCTGGCAGAGACCCCCACTTCCATCTCATCCATTTCTTAGAGCTCATGTCATTTGTTATGAGGCATAACAGCAAACAGTTATTACAGCTGATATTAGTCAGGTAGGGTATTCCCAAGGCTTTTCTAAGGAGTATGGAGCACACAGGATAAAATATACTGGGATTTGTGGCCGAAAAGATATTCAGCATCTTAGTTCTACTTACGTCCATACGCAGACAAGTTTTGTATAACATAAACTGTGAGGGGCCAGAGAGGGGTTTTGTTACTTTACTCTCCTCTGGTTCCTCTGCATGTACATTATACTGTTATGAGCAGGTGTCAGGTAAGAGGAACAGCTTCTACCATCTATGGGGGCACCAGGCTTGGGTAAGGCAGGCACTGCCTTGTTACTTGCTAATATAGCAAAGGCCTATTGGTTTTCCCGCTTGTTGCAAAAGGGAGAAGTGCGTGTTGGGGTTTTGGGCCACTATGCTCAGTCCTCTGTTGAATTTAGTCACATCTCAGCAAAACACTGCAGAAGTTATCTGTTCTTTGCCCAGGGCTCTGCGCTTAGGGCCATGTTCATGTCATTTTTGCTTTGTAAGGTGTCCCATCACACATACCAGAAGGGACGCAAGAGCCCTCTGCACAAGCGGCCAAACTACTCATCAGTGAGATAAACCCAGACAATCCAGGCGGAAGAGAGGACACAGAGTATGTCGAACTCTTCTACACTGGACGGAGACGCTTTGACCTCCAGGGATACTGGTTGGTCCTCTACAATGGTAAAAATAGCCTGGCCTACCGGGTGTTGGACCTGTCTGGATATCATACAAATGAGTTGGGTTACTTCCTAGTGGGGAGCGGTGCTGTGAGTCCACCACCTATGATCAGGCTGCCCTCAAACACCATCCAGAATGGGGCAGACGCTGTGGCTCTCTACTACAGCAACACCACCTTTTACAAGGTGAACATGGCCGTGACTGCAAAGGGGCTGGTGGATGCAGTGGTGTACACATCCCGAATGTCGGAAAAGGCAGACCAGCTGATCAAAGTGCTGGTACCAGGGCAGAGTATCCTGTACGAAAATGATTCTCACAGCACTGAAGATGAGTCTCTGAGCCGCTGTAACAGCTTGAGTGCAATACTCCAGAGCAGCTTCCAGGTAGGTTGATGGCTGATGTCTGTTCTTCATCCATATTACCTGGGAAGATAGTGGTCGCATTCCAGTATGTGGAAAGTATGTTTTTATTAGGGAAAAATGGGCATTCTGGTGAATCACTTCTCCCTCCTGTCAGCTACGGATGCTCTTGGCCAGCCCTCATCTCCCTCTGCCCCACTTTCATTTCTGTTGTTAGCCACGTAACAACATGCCTTGTGCCGTGTGGTTCAGCGCCCAGGAGGTCCCCTGAGACAGCTCACATGCAACCAACCCCAGAACTGGGGAATTTGCTTTTGGATAGCATCCCACACTTTCCAGTCTTCCCAAGCGAGAGGCAGAGCTACCTCTTTACCCTGCTTGCCTGGTGCCAGTTTCAGGATGTGTGATACAACAGTTCACGTCCATGAAACCCAGCTTCCCGCAGAGTGAGGGTGTAAAGGGCATGCCTTAACCATTGGTGTGACTGATTTGTGTTAATTTTTATGAATCGTTCTTTTTATTTCAAAATGTCTAGTTTCAGAAGTCCCGCTGAAGAAACGCTGGCAGAGCGTGTATGCTTTTTCTTTACAAGGTTGGATAAGGGAGGGGTTTGTTGGTCCCCTGTTGGTGCCCACTAGAATCAGGCCGGTGCAGAGGTGCACTCAGGTCAAAAACTGAGACAATAAAAGTGCTCTGGAAGCAGAAGAGATCTGCGTGGGGGGGGGGAGGTACTGAATTACCTCCACACAGTCACATTCCAAGGGACCTTTGCACCAGGAAAGGAACATAAGGAAGTGCTGGTATGGAGTTGAGATATGAGTGTAGAAAT